TGTGCTAGTGTGTGTGTGTGTGTGTGTGTGTGTGGTGAGATAGCAGCAGAGCGATCAGAGGAGGGAACCATTCCGGGGCAGACGGGCGGGAGAGTGTCATTACTCAGACCTGTTTACATTCTAAATACGTAATGAAATCTTCTTGGTAATAATGACGGGAATAAAAGTTTGGGAAATTGTAAAAGTGGTGAAGTTTGAGAAATGAGGCCCGACCCGTGAAATAGCATTTGGGGGCAGAAAACGACATTATTATGCACTGCTCCTGCCTGCCTGAGACATGAAGATGAACTGCTAGTGGGCCATAAAATGCTGTTAGCCCAGGCCTGAAGTATGGCACATTGTAAAAGAGCCCCGATGCCATATTGACAATATATATAAAAGTATAGCCATACACAACATTATTTTTCATATACGATGAGCTCCGAAACAGAAGCCTCGCCCCCGTCCAACGCATAGACTGATAGGCAGTTTTTCCCCCCCTCCCTATAAAATATCTAAATAAACATATTGTCATGGAACCCATCTCTGCCCTGATCATATAGAGCTTGATATTAAAAACAGAAATATTACATTTTCTTGGAGCTCTATTTTCTCCTGTCCTCTTTTGGCTGTGGCGTAGCTCTGTTTGTCGGGGCGGAGGAAGACGAGGCATAGGAAGGCCTTGCAATATTATGCCATATAATGAGATGACTATTGAGTATCAGCTCCACTATAAAGAGATGTAGTATACGGGACGGGGCCTGTGGACCATTATTTTCTGTCAATAAGCAGTTGCAATACAGAAGTAATGGTAAAAGCAGTGGAGCATTAAGATTGATGTTAAAGTCGATGGCAAGATGAGCATTCTTTCCATCAAACTTATGTGATGAGCGTACAGTTATACCACCATAATCCGACCCGCTTGACTTTTAAAATAGAATTTCTCATTATTAGGAAATGCATTGCTCCCCCCCTTTTTATTTATTTATTTATTTATTTTTAAATTAACATTTGTCCTCTTTCCCAGCAGACTACGAGAGAGAGGCAGTGTATAGAGTACACCCATAACTACGGCAGGGTATGCCCATTCGGATTTTTCTAATATTAAAATATTTTTTTGTCTTCGGCAGACCCTCCACACATAAAACAAAATCAGGCATTTAACTGTTTTGGGCATGCTGTGTGTGTGTG